TTAAGGACTATGGACAGGCCTGCAGTCATCTATTTGGTTCCTGTAGGGGGGGGTTATACCCTACTGATAATGGTTCCTATGGAGATCCAGAGAACAGGTCAAAGTTAAGCTGCCTTAATCTAGGATCTGCCCATCTTGTCACATGTATACCCCCAATCCCTACCTAGACCACCCCCTCTCATTTCTGTATAACCTATAGTGCAACCCCTTCCTATGATGTATGTCTTTACCTGTAATTAGTGGGCTTGCATGCCCCCAAAGGTATATAGGCCTGAGTTAGCAATAGAGAGGCCCCTCTCTTCCGCTCCTCCCTTGACCTCTCATCAGCTCCCTGTTCCCTTTCCCCTTGTCCTCCTTCCCTTCCCCCTCTCTCCACGTGGACCACCAAGCAGGGCTGAGGTGAGCATTGCTGCTATGAAATGTGTCCGACTCCATTATTTTAATATCTCTTTTATCTCTCATGCTCTCGATGACTTTAATATAATATTTGTATATCTCAATCGTACAATTGTGCTTACTGAACCCATGATTAGTGCTGGGGGGGCTGGCCAACCCCCTCTTTCAACCACATAGCAGAGCTGAGGTTGTTGAGAAACAAACCCAGAATAGCTAAAGTATGGCACCCACTGAATCCCCAACCTGGAGAGGTACTTGAAACTAAAGTGAGGACATTGAGTGTAAAGAAATGGGATCCTGGAAATGAGAATAGGGACATATGGACATATCAGGAGGAAGCTGCGGACATTTAGTTCTTAAATTCCTTTACATCACCTTTGTGTAGAACCGGTCCTTCTACCTCCATCGGAAGAGACTGGTCCAGTTTTGCTAAATCACCTTTGTCCAAATCAGCCCTTACCTGATGAGATTAACCCAAATGTGTCTTCTTCCATCACCTGAGGCAGATACCTTGCAGGGCAGTACTAAAAGTCCTCTGGATTCATCCTCAGCACCCAGGTTTGCTTCTAGAAACAGAACTCAAATCCCCAGAGGAATCATCAGCCTTTTATGAGAGTGATTGGAAATCATTGGACACCGACTGAACTCTCATTAATTCCAACAGACCGAAAACATCACTGTGGCCCCAACAGTAGAAACCAAAGTTAAACCAAACCTGCTGCCAGCGAGTTGATTCAGACTCAAAGCAACCCTATAGGACAAACCAGAAGCGCTCAATAGAGTTTTCTAGGCAATAAGACATATTATGGGAACATCTTTCTCCCATGGAGCAGCTAGTGGACTTGAAAGGCCCACCTTTCAGTTATTAGTGAAGTGCATCACTGTGGCAGGTAGATAATCTCCTGTCAGCTTGTGGAGTGGTGGAATCTAGCCTGTCAGGTTGCAGCCTGATGGCCTCATTTGGAGGCCCTAAGGAAATAAATAGCTCGCTGGAGGTGGGACTCAGACACTCTCCCTACAAGACTTTCCTGTTGACAAGCCACATGGAGCTATGACAATGGCAGCCAGAGCCTTTGAGCAGATGGAGCCACATGGAGACCCATGCCAGCTCGAAGGTGCTTCCACTGGATTCACCAGACTTCCCACCCACTGGCCTGTGACCTTCCTGCACTCAGCATCATTGCATGTGTTGCATGAATCTGAAGAGGCATTTATAAATTGGCCTCGGACATATGGGCTAATATCAGGCTTATGTACTTGATCTGAACTGGGCTGGATGTTTTCTCAATATATGATTGTTCTTTTATATAAAGCTCTTTCTTATACACATGAGTGTGCATGAATTTGTTTCTCTAGTCAACCTAGACTAACAGTCACCATGATGACACCAGGGCCCCTTGAAGGGACGTAGAGGGATTGGGTTATTAGATGGAGTTTTAACTGAGGTCTGTCTCACAGTGGGTCCCATCCTGTAGCCACTTCCTCAGTTCCAGAATGCATAATTGGAATACGCATACACTTAGCAACTGGCAGAATCCTCACACACTCACCTTTTGACATGCAGAGTGAAGGCTATTACGGCAGGAAAGGCCAAGAGGAAGCCATTAGAACTGCCTTTAAAACAGTAAACGCTAAGCATGAACACCTTCTGGGAGAGATGGCGGAGACCAGGACCAATTGTCAAGGACTTACAAAGGTTGCAGGATTGGCGATGCCCACCTAGGAATGGATTTTGGAGAATGACAACTTCAGCGGGTGGTGATTCCAATTGCAGCTGTTCCAGATGTGGTTTCATTGGTTAAGCAAATTGATACATCTGGTATCTGAGTAAGCAACTATTGATCAGGACAATGCCATTTTAAAAAAATCATTTTATTAGGGGTTCATACAACTCTTATCACAATCCATACGCACATCAATTGTGTGAAGCGCATTTGTACATTCATTGCCCTCATCATTCTCAAAACATTTACTCTCCACTTAAGCCCCCGGCATTAGGTCCTCATTTTCCCCCTCCCTCATGAGCCCTTGATAATTTATAAATTGTTATTTTGTCATATCTTGCCCTGTCTGACATCTCCCTTCACCCACTTTTCGGGTGTCCGTCCCCCAGGGAGGAGGTCACATATAGTTCCTTGTAATCAGTTCCCTCTTTCCTACCCACTCTCTCTCTACCCTCCCTGTATCACCACTCACACCACTGGTCCTGTAGGGGTCATCCGCCCTGGATTCCCTGTATTTCCAGTTCCTATCTGTACCAGTGTACATCCTCTGGTCTAGCCAGACTTGCAAGGTAGAATTCGTGTCATGATAGTGGGAGCGGGGAGGAAACATTTAGGAACCAGAGGAAAGTTGTATTTTTCATCGTTGTTATCTGGCTGGCTCATCTCTTCCCTGAGACCCCTCTGAAAGGGGATCTCCTGAGGGCTACAATGGGCTTTGGGTCTCCACTCCGCATTCCCCCCATCATTCACTATGGTAGGACGAGAATGCCATTTTCACCATACCTGTTTCTAAAGCAGTTCAGAAGCAGTTTTTGCCTTCAGGCCAGCAGTACACCTTTGCTGTCCTACTTTGGGATGCAAAAGGGTTTTTCCCAGGTTGTCTCCTGGGGAGACAAACCTAAGACGTTGCATGCTACACATGGTAAACGACTGTACACTTGGAGGTCAACACAAGCAGCTTAGAGGTTATTCTCCCAGAGGGTTATCAGCCATCTAGAGCATTCAGACTGTATAATCTGTCCCATCCAAGGTAGGGCCCACTACCTTCTGATAAGGGTAGTGGATTGCCTCCCTGAAGGAGAGCCCAGAGACAAGGTCGAGCCCATTCAAGGATGACCAAGGTTTGGCTGCCATCTTCAGTGTAGGGTTCGCCCATCCTGTCACGTATACTTCTAATACCTCCCCTTTCTATTGGGTGTACACCCCTACCTCATCCCCTTCCTGTGACACATATGCCTATTGTACAGCCCCTTCCTGTGAGGTATGTGGTTATCTGTAATCAGCCCCTAAGGATATATAGGCCTTGGTCAGAAATAACGAATATACTCTCTCCCCTCCCTCCTCCTCCTCCTGCTCTCTGTGTGGACCTGGCTGCTGAGATCATGGCCGCCCCGGAGGTGAGCATGCTACTATAAAATGTGTCTGACTCCTATATTTTACCTTCTCAGCTATCTCTCCTATCTTCTATGACTTTACTAGGATCTTTATATATTATAGCCGTACAGTGGCTCCTACGGGTCCCCATGGATGTTAGAGGCTGGTTTACTCTAGCATCCTACCTCTGCCATCACCAATCTCTGAACGAAAATACGCAGTATTACGCTTGGCCCATAGAGATTCTCTTATTCTTGGCATCGTGATGGCATCCTTAGTGGGCTAGCCACACAGTAGCTTAAGAAACATCTCAGCCCTGTAGTCTCGGCTGTAGCTGACGCGTTGGGAGACCCCTTTCACTACCACCCGGGGTGTTAGTTCACCAGGCCTGGGCCTGAGGGTTTGGTGGGGGAAAAGGTGTGTAGGATCCTGGTCTCAGTGGTCAGTGGCCAGACTCTGGGCTGCTGGCCAGAACACTGGCTTTTTGAGCGGCTGCAGTTTGACTCTGCTCCAGCCCACAGGGGCTGAAGGGGCGGGTAGGGAGCATGCATGTGGCTTTGTGTCCCTGGCTTCTGCAGACTCCCCTGGGCAGCATGTGTAGGCTCTGCATTGCCTCTCTGGGCCCTGGCAGACAGTCACTGCACAGGCCTGAGACCAGCCCTGGGGGGCCAGAGCCCCCAGCTTGGCTGTGGAACAGCAGGGGAGCAACAGCCGATACCACCCGGGTCCTCACAACATCTAGGTGGGGACAGGACTTGAGAGCAACGTAGGGCTCACCCAACTACATGTCTCCATTCTTCTCTCTGGGGTACCGAGTCTCTAGGAGGGAAATCGCACCAAGGCTGGACAGTGAAAGTCGGACCCAAGAGAACCTAACCTTGGCTGCCTGCCTTCCAGTGCGGGCTTCTTTCTGCCCAGCGACCTGAAGCCTGGGTTGTGGACTTAGTAGTCTTGGTCTTGTCTTTAAGGAGCTGGGAAGGAGTGCGGGAGAACCCTGGGTGGGTGGGTGGCTGGTTTCTGCTTGCTTTTTGTTTTAAACTCAAGACAGTACGGCATGCTAAAACCCGGCTGCCTTTTGTAATCATCTGGGGGAGTTTTAAATACTATCCGTGCCTGGATCCAACCCCCAGAGACTCTCGGGGGTACCACAGCGTCCAGCAAACGTTGAGGAGCACTGTCCAGCCCAGGCCTCTTATCTGGAGTCCGGGACCCACACCTTCAGCGTCCCTCGTCACTAGCGGGAGAGGGAGGGCCCCCGCAGGCGTCTAGCCCCACCGTCCCCGCAGGAAAAAGCCTACCGAGGGGCGGGAGCCAGGACTGTCTGCAGCAGCCTTCTCAGTCCGGGACGGGACAGGAAGTGTCCGGCGGAGGTGGGGGTGGAGGTGATTGGCAGTTAAAGGCTCCAATGGGCCCGGAGTCCCCCTGTTTCACCCTTTTCGTTCCCTCGGCGCCTGGGCGGAGCCGCCCCCCACTAGGGTGGCGGTGCCCAGGGCGGGAGGGAATCGGGGCCAGGGCTGAGGGCGGAGGGTGCAAGGCGGCGGCGGCCGCGGAAGGTGAGGCCTGGTGGGTCCCGATGGGGTAGCCGAGCAAGCCTGGCCGGCCGGGGGAGGGGGCGGGCGGTGGGTGAACTGCCTGACGCCTGGAGGGGCTGCCAGGGGGTAGGCGTGTGACTGAAATGGTAGTTGTGTGACAATGTCAGGGTGCAGGGCTGAGTGTCACTGGGCGCAACTGCCAGCTGTTGGGGATGTGTGCTGGTGAGTGCCTGGCTGTGCAGATGTGGGATTCCGAGTGCATTTGGGTGAGAGGCGGGGCTGTGTGTCTGTGCCCGTGCGAGGGGGCCAGGGACCACATGTGTCCCAGGGGACCGTGCTGCCAGCCTGAGAGTGGGTTATGGGTGGCAGTGGGTGACTTCAGCAGTAAAGGCAAGAGGGGCACTGTGACAGCCCCAGTCCGGTGAGGTTGCAGTGGGGAGTGTAGCTGTGCTTACATAGTGGGGACCCACGTTAGTCTCCAGCGGGACTAAGGAGGGGGGACCAGTCCCCCTGCCTGCTTTCCCCTCCTCCCTCTGCTGGAGTGTCCCTTATCGCTGGACTCCTGCACCTCTCTTCTAGGTCTCTCGGCCAGACCCAGCTCCCCGAAATTCCTCTTTCTCTCCCTGCTACCATCTTCATAGAGTGGGGCATCTCTCTGACTCTTCACATTTCCGACTCCCACGTGTCTCCGCTGTCCAGTCGGGCCGCTCATGATCTCTGTGCCCCTGTGCTCCACTCTCCTGTTTACGTCTTAGTCCTCGGTGTTCCCTGGGGGCCATCCTAGGGGTGAGATGAAGATCTGCCACAGCCCAGAGCTCCCTGGAAGGGGGCCCTTGAATCAGGAGGAGCTGGTGGCCTTTAGGGAGGATGGTGACCCTGCTGGCCTAGTGGTTTCCCCAGCCGGCTCTCAAATTGGGCTGCTCACCAGAAGTTCGGTCACTCAAAGTCACCAGCTTCTCTATGAGAGAACCTTGCAAACTTTCTACCGAAACTTTCTGCTCTGTCGTGCAGGCAGCTATGACTCAGGATGGACAAGAAAGCAGTGAGGGACCCATCGTGGGGGCTGGGAGAGAGAGAGAGAGAGAGAGAGAGAGAGAGAGAGGAGGAGGACGGGTGAGGTGTAGGTGTCTGTGAGCATATGGATTTACGTCAATCTCAGTGTCAGTATCCGTGTCACTGGGAGTAGCTGAATCTGGGAGTGTATATCTGAGTGCAGGCTTTGTGACTCTGGCACCGGGGACCAAAGGCATTTCCTGGTCCTGAGGCCCAAAGAGTGGAGGGGTGGGTGGGAAACAGCAGGAACTTCTAGGGGCCTCAGGCCTCTCCTCCTGTCTCACAACAAAGCCTGCTGTGCCCTAAGGAGACGTTTGCTGGAGTGTAGAGCGTGAGTGTGCCTGGTTTTTCCTCTGATTGTGTTCCCCACGTGTGTTCCCCAGGGTCTGTTTTCTGTGCGTCCACGGGTGACCGTGGCTGTGTCAAGCTGTGTGGACACAAGCATGCCTCTCCTCCCTCTTGCTGGCCCTGGCAGCGTCTGTGGCTGCCTTTCCAGACTGGGGGGCAGGCCTCTTACCTTCCCAGGGCCTCGAGTGGGAGGGGAGGAGGAGGAGGGAGGGGGGAGGGGGCCTTGCTAGGGGTGGTTGAACTCCGGGGCCCAGAGGGGCGGGGAAGGGGAAGGAGGGGAGGGTTCTGGGGTCTGTCCCAGAACTGAAAAGTGTGCTGCAGCTGGTGGGCTGAGGCCCTGAAGGCCATGGACACTCAGTCACTGGGACCAGCAAGGTAGGGCAGGGGGGCTCAGGGCAAATGTGGCTGGGGAGGGCGCCCCTGTGAGATACATGGAGGTCAGGCACTGCTCTGCTCTGGAGTGCCCCACAATGCCTTCTTCCTTCTCCTGCTCTGCTGGCTCTAGAATCCCAGCAGCCCCCTTCCCCCAACTGGTTACCTTCTCTGCCTGACTTCCCTGAGACCCCAGCCCAACCCTCACCTCTGGGTAGGTGGGTGGGGCTCGTGCTTATCATTCTGGAGCCTTGTGTTTCTTGGTCCTGTGGTCGGTGTCCTCCCTCCCCCCTCCCCCGGGCTTATAGGCTCCCAGCTCATCGCAGGCTCCCCTCCTCACCCGACATCCTGTCTCCATCTGCTGGCTCTTCTCCGCCCCCAGCCTCTGGCAGCAGCCAGGGCATCTGGATCTGCTTAGCTCACAGCCTCAGCCTGCACCCTAGCCCCATCCAGCCGCCCAGGCTCCAGACCAAGGCAGGTCCGGTGGAGTGGCCTGAGTAGCCAGAGCAGGGAGCCAGGCCGAGGCGAGAGGCTTAGCAGCCAGGAGCTGGCTAGGCCTCATGGCAGGAGTACAGGGTAGGCTCAGACTCACCAGGACAGCCCTGCACCCCTGGGTGGTAAGGGCTCCCCCAGGTCAGTCAGAGGCAGTGGCTAGCCCCGGCGAGGTAGAGCGCGTATCAGGATTGCCAGTAGTGGGATTGGAAAGGTTAACAGGAGTGACCAAATGAATGCCAGCACTCAGTGCCAGGGGTGGGTGCCAAGGGCTGTGGGGGGTGGGGTGGGGTGTTGCTGGCACAATCTGTGGCTTATGCCTTAGGTTCTGGACCCTAAGCCCAGGACTGAGATGGTGTGTGTGTGTGTGTGTGTGTGTGTGTGTGTGTGTGTGTTTGGGAGTGTACTCACTCCCTCAGCCCTGAAAGCAGAGTGGGAAGGGGGACTTCAGATCAGAGTTCAAATCAGCTCCCCCAATGATTTCTGACACCCTTATCCTGCCTCAGCTTTCTGCCTATCAGCCCCGTGTGGGGAGGGGGAGCCAGGCTTTAAAGCCTTCCACCTTCTTGGGCGGGACAAGTGACTCCTGATCCTGCCTCTCTCCTCACAGATGAGCAGCAGGTGCTCAGGGCTGAGCAGGTTCCTGGTGGCCGTGACTATAGCCTTGGTATCTGTTACTTCCCCCTGCCCACAGGCCTGGGACTCCCCAGGTGAGAGGAACCCTGCTCTAATACCTCACACTGGCACTGTGTCCCCTTCCCATGCCTTGTGACACCCCTCCCCTCAACCCCTGACATCTAATGTGGGGCCCTCTGTGCCTCCTGTGTCCTGGTTATAACATGCTCTGGCCTAATGACCCTCCCCAGAGCTCAAAAGTCCATCCCTTACCCTGTCACTCTCAGGAAGTGGGTGGGGGATGGGGAGCCTCACCTCAGAAATGCCTTCCACAGGGGTCCAATATGGGGAGCTTGGCAGATCTGTGACAGTGTGTTGCCCCGGAGTGCCTACTGGGTAAGTGACCCTCCTGACTGGGTTTGGGTTGGGAAGTTGAGCACCCTTTCTGGACCTCTCATGGGCCCTCCTAGCCTTGCCTTCTGCGTCTATAACCCTCACTCCGGTGTCTGCCCTAGTCCTCCATCCACCTCTACCCAACAGCCACCGTAATACTGAGGGGTGGGTTCTTCTAGGCTCTGGGGACACAGCAGTGCACACACGGGCCAGGGCCGGGCCCTTCCCCTCCCAGAGTTTATATCCCGGGGTGGACAGTGCAATCAACACCCAGGACTCTTGTCCAGGGGTGATCGGCCTCAGGCAGCAAAGCAAAAGAGCGATGTGGAAGAGGAGAATGGGGCGGTGACTTTTTAATGGGGGGGCAGGGTAGGCCTCTCTCAGGTGGTGCCATTGAAATTGGTTTCTGAAGGTCAGGAAGGGGCCAGGCAGCCACAGACTGGAGTACACACTTTCCTGATAGTGGGAACAGCTCGTGCACACACCCCGAGGGCTCAGTGCACTTGGTGAGGGGGGAGAAGCAGTTGCTGAAGGCCTCCAGGGCGGTGGGCCACAAGAGCTTTGGGAAGGCAGGCCAGGGGGTTTGGGTTTCTTGACACAGTAGTGAGAAGCTGCATGTCCGTCTTACACTTTACATCTTTCCTTGGTCTGCTTGGTCTATCCTCAAAGAGCCCTCGTGGCCGGCAGCACAGCCGTTAAGGGCTGAGCTGCTCACCTAAAAAGGGTTTCTGGTTCGAACCCCCTTGCAGGAGAAAAGGTGTGTGTCAGCTTGCTTCCATGAACATGACAGGCTTGGCAAGGCTAGGCTCTGGGGCAGGTCTCCTCTGTCCCATTGAATTGCTCTGCATTGGCATGGTCTTGATGGCAGTGGGTGTGGTTTTGGTTTGTCCTCCCTTCATTCCATCCTTAGGACCCCGGTGTCCTGGTTTCGATTCAGAGAGCCAAAGCTACTCCAGGGACTCAGCTCTGGGCAAGGCCATGAGCTAGTCCTGGCTCAGGCAGACAGTACTGACGAGGGCGTCTATATCTGCCGGACCCTGGATGGTGCTGTTGGAGGCGCAGTGACCCTGCGGCTGGGCTGTGAGTTGGGCAGGGAGCAGTGGTGACACATGACTTTGAAGGGAAACCAAGCCTCTGGACAGGGAGGTGTTGGGGATTGCTTGGGTCCCATCTGCATTCTCTGCCTCTAGACCCCCCAGCTCTCCCCGATGTCTCCTGTCAAGCAGTTGACTATGAGAACTTCTCCTGCACTTGGAGGCCGGGCCAGCTCAACAGTCTCCCCACCCGCTACCTTGTCTCGTACAGGTGTGCACATGATTGGGTGTGTGGGTCTGTATTTTGGGGAGTGCTGGCACAAGTTGGGAATGGGAGGTTGGGGGAAGGGGAGGTTCTGAGGAAGGCCCAAGCGCCTCTTTTTTCCTTACTGACCTGAGATCGCCCCTTGTCCCCACCAGGAAGAAGACCGAGCAGGCAGCTGATGAGCAGAGGCAGGATGTGAGGTAGAGACTGGAACTTCCAGCAGGCTCCCCCAGGGAGCATGGCCAAAGCCTGAGACCATATCCTCCCTTCTAGGGGAGACTCTTCCACTGGGCCCTGGCCATGCCCACCAGACCCCTCCGGGGCTGCCCGCTGTGTAGTCCATGGAGCTGAGTTCTGGAGCCAGTACCGGATCAATGTGACCGAGGTGAACCCGCTGGGGGCCAAGACACGCCTGCTGGATATCAGCTTTCAGAACATCTGTGAGTGCCCCCCCATGCCCGCCACAGAATCCCCAGACTGACCCCTCAGGACAGACTCGCCGATTCCCACCCCTCCACAGAACCCCCAAACAGCTGCCTCCGGCACACTTCCTCTTTTAGTTCACAGACTGCCCCAAACAATGCTTCCTTCCTCCCTATGGATTGATGGCCCTGCGGCTCTCCCCCGGGCCCAGGAAGCAGGGTTAGCTCAGCACACACTTGGGAGTATACTTTGTCCACAAGTCCTTCCTGGCTCTCAGTTTCAAGGCCTTGTACTGAAATCTTTAATCCAGCTATCCCTTAAATCCTCCCTGTCCAATGGGAACCCCCACCACATTCCTTCCTCTTGGTATGTGCCTGGGAGACAGGGCACGGCATGACAGCTCTGGCCGGAGGTTGGGCAGCCCACCTTCTTCCTTGGATGGAAAGCAGACTCCCTTCTTGTTCATTCAACAATCATGCCAAGCCCTGTCACCAGACCTCAGCTTATACTGGGGATGACAGATAGGTCTTGACCTCAACGGATGATCTCACCTGGGCGTCTTTAAGCTTCCCTTGGGAAGTGCAGGGCGGTGAGGGTGCCTGCTGTCTGTCCTGACTTTGTTTCCTTCATCCCCCTCAGTGCACCCTGACCCCCCTCAGGGCTTGCGAGTGGAACCAATCCCTGGCTATCCCCACCGCCTGCGTGTTAGCTGGAAGTACCCCGCTACCTGGCCCCACCAGCCCCACTTTCTGCTCAAGTTCCAGCTTCAGTACCGCCCAGTGCAACATTCATTCTGGTCCACGGTAAGGCTTGGAGCACATCCCCACCTGGGCCTGTGGGTCCTGGCTCTGGCTTCTTGTGGGTGTTCTGCAGGTTGAGAGAGCCTCGCCCTCCAGACTGCACCCTGGGGGTCAGGGTCCCAGAGGGGACGACAGACCAACAGAGGAGCCTCTGGGTGGATACAGCTCTGATGTATGCCCGTCTGTGGGCA